AAAAATAATTAAAAAAAAAGCTGTAATTATAATTATAAGTTGTCTTTACAAAATCAAGAGTACGTAGGTTTGACTCAGATCAAGAAACATTTATGGTGGACATGTATGTAGCTATACGTGTGTACTGATTCTCGAGGATACTCTTTTTTTTTTTTTTTTTTACCGTTTTTTTTCTTAGTAGCAGAGTCAGAGTAATCCAATCCAATGACATAACGCTCAGGTGATGCCATAGCGACCACATCATAGCCCTGTGACAATCAAATCATGATTTCCTCATTAATTACTACTTACATATATATATATATATATGTATAATGTATGTATCTCTCTATATATATATGTGTGTGTGAATATGCGACATACGGCACCACATCCAGGGACTAAGGCGGTGCCGTTGGGCAAAGAGGCCGAGTCAAGGAGGTGAACGACGATCGGAGTCGGACCACCTATGTCCCATGGTGTCAATTCAAGCTCCCAGCATTTCTCCCACCCACCTTATTAACAAAATATATATATTTAGAATATTCTATAAGAGTCAACACTTAACTATACTAGGAGAGTTTAGGGCATCATATATATATATAGAGAGAGATTATGGATATACATACGATAATATTATCTCTTAATTATGTAGTGTGTTTTTTTTTCATTACCTTTACACTATGTATGTATGTATTTTCTGGATTGGTAATAGAAAATACTCAACATTATTGAGCGAATCTTAACAATATGTGATCGTGGTTACAATTGAAATAACATTTTATGAACCGGAAAACTATTGAATAATTATGATAGAATGTTTAATTGTCAAAATAAAATATCAGACACGACATATATATATATATATATACACACACAGACACACATATATGATATACATGTACGTAATAGTGTAAAACGTCTGTTAAGCTCGTTTAGGTTTAATAGTGCTACGGAAGCAATCTGATATTCAATACTGAAATAAGGCAATAATCGCGTTTGCAATAAGTAGCAATGGCATTTGAACGATCATGTCGGTTTATATATACAAACCAGAAGGATGGCGGTCGACAAGCTTCCGGAGCTCTTCCACGTCTTGTCCGATCATCGTCTCTTACCCTCTTCTTCGTCTTTTCACTTGCCAAGTTTTCCCTTGCTTTATATAGAAATCGACCATCAGGGAACACCCATTAATATTTTCCACAATTTCTTTTATTTATTAATTAATATTATCATTATTATTATTGAAAATCCCAACTTTCCATCGTCATTAAGAAAACTCGTGATGATCTTTAACTTGTGCACATGAAACTTCGTTGCAAAGAATAATCCAACACTTATTTTTCCAAGCAGCCCAAAGAAAATTCGTTCCTATTTTATCGCAGAAAAAACGTATATAGGGGGGGTTTGAAAATAACATTTTTCCTAACACTTTAGTCTTTGGTTGAAAATGCTAATATACCGTTGATATATATTACAACAAAACTGTGGAATAGCGCTATTTTGTGCTAAAATCAATCAATAAAAATATTTTGAAAATTTCTTATATATATATATATTATAAGTTTAATAACAACTAATTAACCACAAATACTTATTATTATTATTACTATTCACTAACCCCCACCTACAGATCACTACATTTGTTATAGAAAAATTGGTAATCAATCGTGTTGGGCCTTTAAGGCCAAGTTGCGGAAAAGAGAACCTTCTAAATGGAAAGGAGGTTTCGGTATTAAACCAATTAAACCAAAACGTTACGTTTTGGTAGGTTAGGGTTTTTACCCTGTCTCGTGACTTCGTCACTATCATCATAGAGAAGAAAATGACAGGCAAATGAGAAGAAGAGAGGAGATCGCGGTGAGCACATGGCGGAGGACGTTTCGACGGTCCGTCAACAGAGCTCAGTGGTAGATCGGTAAGATCCCGGTACAGGTTTGCATCCTTTGGTTGTTTCCTTTCTCTTTTGTTCTCAGTTCTTCTCGGTGAAGCTCTGGATTGTGGAGATCCACCGAGTTTCTGTTCTTCGGTGGTGTTCTTCCATCGATAGTGAATTCGTCGTCATCGTCCGACCGAGATGTAGGCCCGAGAAAACTCGGTAACCGAACTCATTAAAATCCCGCTGTATTCTTTCTTCTTGCACGTATGAGCGTCGGAGTGAAACCGCGAGGGCCCGATACCGCTTCACTTTTGATACCATTGGCACGACTAATTCAATATAAATTTACTCATGTTTGGGTGATCTAGAGATAAGAGAACATATAAAACATGTTTTTATACCGGGTTCAAATCCAACCGTAGGGAGATTCACCCGAATTTCTCCGGCTTTTTGAGAGATATAATTGAACCAAAGTTCAGGTGAATTTCCGGATTATAAAAAAAAAGTTCGATATAAATTAATCGTTTTACAGAAAACCTCAAACTGTTTGTCTTAATCAGATATTTTATTAAATTGAAAAAGTGCATGAATCCTACATACGATTATTACGTGAGCCTTGTGCATGTGCTACTACATAGATTTTTTTATTTTTTATTTATAAATTTTGTTGATATATAATAATCGAAATACTAATTCTTGCTGGCCAAATTATATCCGTATTTGGACTGAATACCTGTCAAATACATCAGCTTAATTTTTAGACCCCGGAAGTAAATTAGCGAATAAGATCAGTCTAAACTCGACTAGTTTGAAAACCGAATGTTCTACATTTGAGTCAATAGTACAAAAAAAAACAAAAAAAAATTCGTCGTTCAAATAATCTCCCAAAATTAAATAAAGAAAAATCAGTAATTAGATAGAATAAATTGGTAAATCGATCTACACTTGGACCTGGACGTATGTGCTCAGCCCACCAATTTTGATATTTCTCAGCTCTCGAAGAACACGAATAGTGTGGGGACAACATCCATCGAGTAGCAGCATCACGTGCGGTGTTTAGATTTGGTGTGTGAAAATAAAGGATCATATTCTAGGATTTCAGTGTAATGTTTTACTATCCCGGACATGTGATTGATTTTACATTAAATTATATATATTTTCCGCTCCGAACTATTTAAAAGTGTTTAAAAGTGTGATATAAGATATTTTTGTGTTTTGTTTTATGTGTTTTATTGGAATGTCAATGTGGCGCACTTGTATTCACGGGATACAAGCTACGGATGTCATAATTTTTTGTATCAGAGCAACGTTCTTTCCACGGGAAAGATTGATGTTCATTACCTAACTTGTTTTGCGAAAGAAAAATGTTTTCAAACCGTGTCTGAGGAAAAATCCTCTAAGTGGTGAGGTGTGTACATAGTCGATGCAAATTTCGATCGTTGGATGTTAAGCTATGGTGTAGTGAATATGGCGCCACGACGTGCACAATCCACGACAAGAGATAACGTCCCCAACCATGTCCCTCCAACTAATAGACTCAGTGAGTTCCAAGAGGAGATGAGGAATGAACTTCGTACTTTTCAAGAGGCCATGTGGCAGCAACTGAGGGCGCACATTCCACCCCCACCACCGGTAGGAGGTCCGGAGCTGAGGGGAGAGGATTTACCTCCACCAGTACCCGTGGAGGCAGTAGCCAGATGTGACAGCCCATAATACCATAGGAGGGCGGGGAGTGATCGTCGGTACGAAAGACACAGACAAGGAGCGGTTTCTGATGAGCTTCTTGGTAGAGGTACAGGGATAAATCGAACGCACAAGAATGAGAGAGATCTGAGGATTGTGTAGGTATGAGACTACACAGTCAAAGATAAACTTAAAGAAATTAATTGGGCCACTCATAGCAACAAGATGCATATACCTTTTCGGTTAATCATCTCGAGAGAACTACAAAGTTAAGCGTGCTCGCTTTGGAGTAGTCTTAGGACGTGTGACCTCCTAGGAAGTACTTTCTAGGATGTATGTGAGTGAGGACAAAACAAGCTAAAATGTCTCTTGTTGGTGTGTGAGGACAACTTTGACATTCCGTAACGGTCTCGGAACGCTACAAATGATATCAGAACCGGTACTCTCCGAGTACGATGTTGTTCGATGACAAAACAGACAGAAGCTGGTGGGCCTATGATACCCCAGGATACCGTAAGAAGACTGAGAGTGATCACCGGTGTGAGAGACACACAGAAAGAGCTGCTCCTGACGAGCTTCTGGGCAGGGAGTACATGGATGAATCGAACGCACCAGAATGAGAGAGATCTGAGGGTTGTGTAGGTATGAGACTACGTACATGTAATATCCCGAAACCCGATTGGAATATTTAATTATTAAAAATGAATAATTAAATAGAGATATCACGAAATCACCAAAAGTGGTGATACAATATCGGGGAGAGGTACGAGGATCGTCAAGTGCGGAAAGGACCGAGAAAGAATGAAGAAAAGGAAAAGAAAAGAAAAGAAAAGAAAAATAATACAGGGTTGGTCCGCCGGACCAGGAATGGTCCGCGGCGGACCAACCGCTCAGCCGGAGTGGGACTGGACGGGCGGACTGGGAGAAGTTTTCGAAAAAAAAAATAAACTGACCCCGGTCCGGCGGACCAGGAATTGGTCCGACGGACCAGGAATAACAGATTCCACAACTTGTCAACTTGCCACCTTGGGACGCGGAATTCGCCGGATTCCGGGGCCCGCTCGCCGTCCAGCCGCCTCCCACACCTCGAGGACGTTGCAGGCTCGCCTATGGGCTTGGGCTTGAGCCCACGAACTCCCTATCTCGCACCATAAACACCTCCCAACCCTTGCACTTAGGCATTTTCGGACAAAAACAGAGGAAGAAAGAAAAGAGGAGAAAGGGGGAGAAAGGGAACGAACCAGTGCAAGGGGAGCTCGGGGAGACCAAGAGGGACGTGCCCAGACGTGTCCTGAAGCTTCTCACGTCGTGTGGAGCCAGGAGGAACGCACACAAACTCGGACAAACTCAAGAATAAGGTGAGTGGCTTGAGTTGGATTTGTGCAATCTCGTTTTCAATGTTTAATGGTGCATTCGAGATTTTCCTTGCGTGTTTGAGCTATAGAACATGTTTAGGGTT